AAGTATAAAAGGAGGTACAATCTATAAAACTGCATGCTCCAAATTCCCGTCAATGATAGACTGGATAAAGAATGTGGCACATATACAACATGAAATACTATGCAGCCATATAAAAGAATGAGTTCCTGACCTTGCAGGGACATGGATATAGCTGGAAACCATCATACTAAGCAAACTATCACAGGAATAGAAAACTAAACACTGCACATTCTCACTCATAAGTGGGAGTTAAACAATGAGAACACGTGGACACAGGGAGGAAAACATCACACACTGGGGCCCATCGTGGGGCGGGGGGCAAGGAGAGAGAGAACATTAAGACAAATACCTCATGCATGTGGGGCTTAAAACCTAGATGATGGGTTGATAGATGCAGCAAACCACCATGGCACATGTATACCTATGTAACAAACCTTCACATGAATTCAAAAACTTAAAGTAAAAATAAAACACAATAAATAACGGCATGCTATGTGTTATAAATTGGTGCTGAGAGGTTACAGGAGACACTGTAGTGTTGGTTGCAGACAGATTAATTAAAGAGAAAACAGAAAAAGAGTTTTATTTTTTGACTAGAGAACTGCAAACTTGAGTAATAAGTAAATTTTCAAATAAAGTTAAGGGGTAAATAATCTTAGAGGACCTGAAGTGAAGTTAAAGTGAATACAGTAGACTGCAAAAAAAAAAAAAAAAAAAAAAAAATCACAAGTGCTTACCTTCTAGCTCCTATAAATACAGAAATTGTGTAGGATCCTAAATGTCTCGAATCTCTGACAATAAATGCGCCTTCTGTAGACTGCAAAAAAAAAAAAAAAAAAGTAAATAAACTTATTTTTTTGAATTGTATTATCTAAATGCTCTAACCCACATAGAAGTCAAAAATTAGAGAGATTTTAAAATGAGAATTACATACTTAGCAGTATTTAATACAGTTTTACAAGGAATAATGTGGAGGGCTGTTGTAGTTGGCCATGGTTATCACTTCTGGGAGGGTCTGTATTTTACACAGTAGTTTAATCAACACTGAACAGCTTGCCTCATCCTCTGTTCAGGCATCAGAGCAAAGTGATCTGTTTCATCTTCTCCTGGACTCAGAAGCTTTAAGAGATGCATTATATCCCAAAATTCTAAAGTCTTCTCAAGTGGAATCACTAAAATCCATACCTATTTTCTGTGGATCTTTTAGAGTTCAGCTTTTTCTGCTGATTACCAATAAAGACAAATATTTTAACTTAAATGTAAAACTAATTTTTCTCATAGAAGTGTCATTTTATTATTATAAATATTTACTTTTTGATTCTCCAGAAATAGTTTTCGTTTTAAAACTTCTCCAATTTTGATTTCTAAATGGATTACAACAGTAGATAATGTCATTCAAATAATTTTATAAGGCTTTTTGCAGTTTACTGTAGCCACTTTGATTTATCACTTTAGGTTTTCTAAGATTATTTATCCCTTGACTCTTTGTTTACAGAATTGCAAACTTGAGCAATATATAAGTTATCAAATGTATATTTTGCTCAAGTTTGTAATTCTCTAATCAAAGAAATAGAACTATTTTCCTATCTTAATCATCTCTCACGTTCTTATTTTATTATTTTTCTGTTAACTTATTTTGTTTTACTGCTCTGAGTAAGGAAACCCTAAAACTATAGGTTTTTAATGCAATTAACTATGTAACTGAAATTGGAAGACAGCTTAGGCCAATAGAAAATACATTGCATTTGAAGTTAAACTATCTGGTTTAAATTCTGGTTCCAGCATTTAATGATCGGATGATTATTGGAAATTTACTTAAAATGTATTAAGCATATAATAAGGATAGTAATGACTAATACCTAGTCCGCAAAATCATTATATGGCTCAATTTAGGTGGCAGACTAAAAAGCACTTCGCATGTAAGTCTACGTAGTAAAGTAATTATTATTGTAAACTGATTTGAATAATACCAACTGCATATATTTATGCACTTACATTTATACATTGAATCATTCAATTTTGAAAATCAGAATGTAAATGACATGGATCTGATATGGGATAATTTCTCATAAAGCTAACCACTTATCTCTTAAAGTATAATTTTGCAATGTATCATTAGCATATCTTACATAAAATTGCTTCATGCTCCTGTCCACTAATAATCACCTCTGATTACAGCAACCCTGAAGAGAATTATCTCAGCCTAAATTATCAGAAGCTTTACACAACAAGCATATTTGGTGACATGGTCCCACTCAGGGAAATAAAAAGAGCTCAGTGAAAGAATATAATTTCTCATTTGAGTAGAGGCAAGCAGAAATCAAAGCCAATTGTGGAACTAAACGTATCATTGCCTTCAAGGTCATGACTAAACTATGAAGTTTAATTACTATATTTATGGTACTAGATTCTCAATATATTAATGAAAGCCCTATTTAACATCTAGGTCCTGTCAGTCATAGAAATCTAAGTGGATTACTTGTTGTATAGCTTTATTTTACTATTACAAACCGTCTCCATGGCCATGTGCTGTGACTCATGCCTGTAATCCCAGCACTTTGGCAGGCTGAAGCAGGAAGATGACTTAAGGTCAGGAGTTCGAGACCAGCCTGGGCAGCATGGTGAAACTCCATCTCTACTAAAAAAGAAAAAAAAAAAAAATTAGCCAGGCAAAAGTTATGGTGGTGAACACCTGTAATCCCAGCTACTCAAGAGACTGAGGCATGAGGTTTGCTTGAACCCAGGGAGGCTGAGGTTGCAGTGAGCAAAGATCATGCCACTGCACTTCAGTCTGAGGGACAGGGCAAGATTCTGGTTTTTTTTTTTTTTTTTTAACGTCTCTAAGTGCAAATATACTATACATGTTATCTTTAAGCATCCCCTCCCCGATGCTTGCCATTCTCTGTTGAATAATATGGGAATGGTCTGAGTTTCCCTTTCTATAATGTATAGCTTCGAGAGATAAAGACTGTCTATAATTATTCATTTACCCATCCAGAAAACTATTATAGAGAGTTTCTATGGGCAAAGCATTCTAGTAAGCATTGGAAATGTGGAGATGAAGAAAGTAAGATACGCTCTTTAAAGTAGTATACAGATTAGAGAGAGATAAGATACATAAACTGTGACATAATAAAGTATAAAAGTCATGCCAAATAGAGGGTCCAAACAATGTGTTATAGAAACAGAGAAATGTGTGTTTACTGCAGTATGAATAGGCTGTAGAGGACATCATGGGATAGACAATATTTTATGCCTCTTTCTGGATTAAAAAAATAATAAACCAAGGACCTGTGTATGGTTGTATCCTAAATCAACCTCTGAGGACATTGACTAAGTCCACAGAGATAATAAGAAAGACTAAACATCATTTACTACCTCTACACCAAAAAAGGAAGCACAGCAGCAACAAACACACTGAAAAGGTTAATGTAAGTATTTCAGTAAATATTCTTTGATAATGAAGAGGTGTGTATTTGGTCTTATCTGACATGACGTGTGAATATCATTGATTGGAGCATGTGCTTTTTTATTGCTTCCTTTATCTCTTTATTCTTCAGACTACAGATAATTGTATTGAAGAATGGTGACAGCACTGCAAACATTAGGCTGATGTTTGTGTCCCAGAAAAAAGGAGTACTTGGCAGAGAAGAGCAGGTACCTCAGGGCTACACTTCCAGAAAAGATTAAGAAAACAGCAACATGGGAAGCACAGGTAGAAAATGCCTTTTGGCATCCATCAGCAGAGCAGTTTCTTAGGATTGCTGCAATAATCTGGACATAAGCCAAAGTCACCAGCGTTATAGCTGTATGATCTCCACAGCATGTACAATGTCCACAAGCTTGATTAATACAACTGTGCCAGTGTCCACACATGCTAGATTCAGGTAAATGAGGAGCAGGAGGATAAAAAACAAAAGCCCACCCTCCTGCAAGCAAGGAAAGCCAGTGAATACACATTCAATCACTGCTGTCCGATTCTTATTTATCGTCTTCTCAGCTGTGAGGCAAAAAAGAATAAAAGAGGCTCTAGTTTAGCAAACGAATTGGATATGCAATTTATTACATTTTCGTTTGCTTATTCAAATATTTAGCAAGTGCTTACTATGTTCCATGTACTGTATAATATGCTAGAATAAAGAGTCACCATTTTAAAAGCCAATATTCCAAATACATAAATTGCTGCATTTGTCATAGCCGGTCACATCATGAGATGCACCTCTGGTAGAGGTGACAACTGGGTGAAATGGACTCCATGAGGGTTCTTACCTTTGGTGGTTTAATGCTCTAGTTTGTGCTAGTTGGCCTCCTGCCAGGAGGTGCCACTTTGCAGAGAACATCAGCTGTAAAAATTTGATTAATAAGTGCAGTGCAATTTTAGGTAAAATAAATATATTCAAAGTTATCAGGGAATAAGTTAGCAGCTTCTGTCCTCTGCAAGCCAGAAGGCACGTGTTTCCTTAATCCTATGTATTCACTAAGAGCAAATTTACAAGGTAAAAGGAACATCATCAACACACAATGAACTTTTTTTTTTCCATTTTATTTTCTCTTGTTTTTCCCTCAGCTTGGGTTTCTTTTTTTATTACATGCATGAACACACACACACACAGAGCTAGTAAAATTACTTTAATGTTTATAATTTGAAATGAAGGTATGTTTAACCACAGAAGGATTTAAGGCAGGGTAATAAAGCAATCAGATTTAAGTTGTAAGAATAGCTCAGTTTGCAGTGGAGAAAGAAGCTTGAAGTTGAGAAAGTATGGATGTAAGACAGGTAGTGTTGGCTATATTAATTTTTAGGGATATTGATAATATTTAGGAAACTATTATTTATTACAAAACTTAAAAGTAGAGAGGACAGAGAAAAAATGGTGTGACCCTTTCACATAACGGAGCTTTATGTGTATGAGCTCTGTAACAATATTGCACTTACAATAGCATAAATTAGTCAATCAATTAGAAAAATAATGACATTTTTCATGTCATTTGAAGAACATTAAAAATATGCGGCTTAAACTCAGTGATACTTCTTGCATTTCTTTTTCCCTCGTCCTCCTGTTCTTAAACTAAGAAGTATTCTCTGAAGCCTTTCTTTTACCCAAACCCCTGCACCCACGATCAACAGCTTTTCTCGGATTATTCTTCTCTTCTGTATCCCAGACTTTTATTTGATAGCATTAACCCTTTTTATATGATCTCTCCTTAACTTTTGCCTTTCTGTTTGATTTTAAAATGTCATGAGATTTAGGGTTAAAAGTAATGAAAGAGCTGCGGCACAAAGCGGGGGAATTCACACTGACAGCTATAGGATTTGTTTTGGCAGGCTAGAGAAGGGTGAAAATTTATTAACATTTGCTCAGTAATAAGCTTTATCCTATTCTGACTGAATCATGAGCCCTGGAGAAAAAAATCACTTTTTATGAAGCATGTATGATATGAAGACTCAGCAAGAGAAAGAAGCATCGATGAGGTAGGATAAAAAAGAGTTCATAATCCTAAAAGCCAAAGGAGAGCACTTGAAAGAGCCATTGCCTAATACAATTGATCAATTGTCTAGAAAATCAGAATGCAGCATGGTGGTATGTTGGTTTATTCATTCAACAAATAATTTTTATGTTTATTAATATGTACAATGCATTTGGTCACAGTGAATGCAACATCTGGGCTTTTTATTTATCATGAAAAACTGATTATTTAATAAGTAACTTAAATTGTTTACTGATTAATACTTGGATAATCAATTTAAAAATTTGAGTCATTCTTCAACTGTAGAAGCTGGAGGCACCACGGATAAAACCTAGTCTTTTTAAAGGATACTTTTAAAATTATCATGTCTTACAGACAAATATTTTGATTGCTTTAAAATTAAAGTGAATGTTTATGCAGAACATTTCAACAAAATCAATTCACTTTAAATAACTTGAGTGGCAGAAAGTTTAAAAAAGTCAGATTGAAAAATATGTCTAGTTGAATAAAGATTAAAGAGAAACTATTGACTTTAGCTATTAGCGAAAATTTTTTTTGGTGAGCGTTGGGAAACCAGTTTCAATAAAAGGCTGATAGAAAAAGACAGACGGTTGATAGCTGAAGGTGAAGAGGAATGAGCAACTATACAGAATCTCAGCTAAGATATATTACTTGACGTCTCTGGTCTTACCAAAAAAAAATGTCTTAGCTTGACCTATGTGCTTTTTTAGAGCGTCTTTTATTTCTTTATTCCTCAGGCTATAGATAATGGGGTTGAAGAAGGGAGACAAAACTGCAAAGGCCAGAGCAATGGCTGTATCCCAGAACAAGGAGTAGGTGGCAGAGAAGCTCAGGTACATGAGAGCCACACTGCCAAAGAAGAGCAAAAAGACAATGAGGTAAGAGACACACGTGGAAAATGCTTTGCGGCGGCCTCCAGCTGAACGAATCCGTAAAATTACAGCCACGATACCAATGTAGGACATGAAGATGAGCATCACAGCTGTAATAATCTCCACTGCATGGATGACATCCACTACCTGAATCATGACGATGGCTCGTGTGTCTGTGCAGGCCAGGCGCAGCACTGGGAGGAAGTCACAGAAGATATGCTCAAGGCGATTCGAACCACAAAATGGCAGTGTAGAGATCCAGACAATCTCAGGAAGGGGTGTGGTAAAGCCACAAACACAGCAACTTAAAGTCAGTTGGGCACATAGCTTGGGGGTCATGATAGTGGGATAATGAAGAGGGCTGCAGATAGCCAGGTAGCGGTCAAAGGCCATAGCTGTCAAGAGACACACCTCACTGATGCCAGTAGAATGGAAGAAATACATCTGCAAGAGACAACCATTGAAGGAAATGCTCCTTCTCTCACTAAGCAGGCTAGAGAGCATCTTTGGGATTGTGGCTGTGGTATACCAAATCTCCAGGAAAGAAAGAGCACTGATAAAAACATACATAGGAGTGTGGAGTTGAATATTCAGATGGACCACTGTGAGGATGATCAGGTTTCCAACAACAATGAAAGCATAGATGAAGAGCAGTGGAACAAAGCACACGACAGACTTAATCCAGGAATAAGGGAAAGCAGAGAAGATAAACTCCTGAGCAATGGTTCGATTGGGGCACTCCATCTCCAAGCTGGAAGTGAGAGTTTCAGTTTCCAGCATACTCAAGGCTTCCAGGAGGCATCGACTATTGGTTAAAGAAATACACTTATAAGAAGTCAGCCTCTGGATAGAGTTCTGTAATGGGGATATAAAGGGAGACAAGGAAGAAGGATATGGTCCAAATTCCACAGTTACTTACAACTTAAGTTGTCGTGTGGAAAAAAAAATCAGAAAACACAGTCAATATTTTGGATGTGAGATTCTCAAATATTAACATGCATCAAAATCACCAGGAGGACTTGTTAAAACTCAGATTGCTGGTCCTCATAATGAGAGTTTGTTCCTAATCTATAGTTCTGAGGTAGGGCCCAAGAATGTTCATTTCTAACAAATTTTCAGGCAATGGTGGTCCTGCTGGTCAGGGGACCATATTTTAAAACCATTGTGTTTAGGCAATCATAGAATTAGACAAGGCATTCAAGGAATCACAAATAATTAAGACGACATTCTTTCCCATATTTGAATCTTATCTTCCCACACTGTTCCAAAATTTTTTTTTCTCAAGCTCCCAGTTTATTGGATTCTTGGCATATGATTTGAATGGCATATTTTTTATAATAAAGACAAAGCCATTACTGGTGAATTCTTTCAACCCTCTTACTTTCTCTGATAACTCTCCCTCTCTTCATATGTATATTCTTAATCATAATGCAGAGAATATTTGGAGAAGAAAAGCTATAGAAATAATCATAAGTTATTTTACCTTCTTTTAAAAGATGGTCCATTCTATCTCCTTCACTTCCTTCTCTTCTACGTCTTCTTGGTCAGGAGATCTTGAAGGGATTTTGTACCAGAAGGCTTTGGTCAAATGAAGTAATTCATAAAAACTAACTATATTAATAAACAAATGCTTAATATAGTTATACAACTGCTCTGGTACAACTGAATGGGGTAGTTGGAAGGGCAGACCTGCAGTGCCCTGTAGAATACAATTTAAACTGCACACATTATAGGATATTGCCCTATTAATTTATTCTCCTTTCAGAATGATTTGTTTTACTCTCTATCTCTTCTGCAATTAAACATGCACATTTCTTCTTATCTTGGGACAAAATGCTGTTTCTATTCAGATTATTTCCCTCCTTTGTAACAACTGCATTATTTCTCTAATTTATAAAAGGTATTTATTCTATTCATTCTTCTTTGAATCTGTTTGAATAATTTATCCACCCTCAACTTCCCATATCTCTCTTTTAAGGTATACCAGCAACTTTCTGACTGAACTGTAATGGCCTCCCTCTGTCTTCATTACCACTAACTTCCAAAGGTCAATTGTCCAATGCGTGATCTCTCTCCTTTTTTCCCTATTCGATGTCGAACTATCCTGGTTTTCCTCATTGATTAATTTTTTTTATCCCAAGTATAAAGATAAACCCAAATTTTGTCATCATTTGATCTTTTCTCTATATTTCCTTTCATACAGAAGAATCTATTCTTTCAAGGTCTTATTTATTCAAGATTATTTATCAACTTGTATTGGCCTTCTATTCTCCATAATTATTATGACTCCAGAATTTCTTGTTTTTGATATCTCTCATAAGCTCCACATTTTTTTCAGGACTCTTACTTAGAAACCTCACTTTGACCCAAGCATACATCCTTACCTATTGCTGTTAAATTGTGTCCCCTGAAAATTTATAGATTGAATTTCTAACCCCCGGTATCTCAGAATGTGACTGTACTTGGACATACAGTAAAGAGGTAACAAAGTTCAAATAAGGAAATTAGGATGGTCCTTAATTCAATAGAACTAGTGTCCTTATAATAAGAGGAAATTTAGACACAATTTTGGAGGGAGAACCATATGAAGTCTCAGTGAGAAAACAGCCACCTACTCAAAGTCAAGAAGAAAGGATTCAAAAGAAAGCAACCCTGCTGAAAACTCAATCTCAGACTTCTAGTCTTCAGAATTGTGAGAAATTAAATTTCTGTTGTTTAAACCACCCACTCTGTAGTTCTTCTTATGGCAACCCTCGCAAACAAATACAACACCCTTACCCTCAGCACTAAACCAGATTCTCTCACTGACTTTTAAAGTTTTTGTCCACCTGGATAGCAACTGTACTCATGTTATGTATATTATTCCTTATACTCTAAAACCAAATTAATCATCAAGGTCTGTCTCATTTATTTATTTTTTACTATATCTCTTGTATCTTTTACTCCACTCTCTTTATCCTAATTGAATGCCCAGTCATAGTGTGTACACTATTGCAATGAGTTTCCAGAAATTTCTGCATCCAGTCTTAGTTTTGGCTACCCAAGCCTCCATTCTCTAAAAGTCAGCTTTGTGAAGCATTAGTTTCCTCTTGTGACTCTCCTCTCAAATCTATACTTAAGTATCATTTTCTCATCATTTTCTTCATCCAAATTGGCCCTTCTTTGTAAGTGAAACAATCTCAAATCCTCTAGGGTAACTTTTTCCTAATCACTGAATCAGGAAATAATAAATCCCGTTTAATGTCTGGCAATGATCGTCTTGCTTTCCATATGCCTTAGGAAATGGAAATTTATTAATAACTTCCTATTTATATTAGCTATGCATGCATTTATTACTTGATTATGTGACTACATTCCATCAAACTCCTATTTCTTTTTACACATAAAAGAGAGCATCATCTTCCTTTAACATGATCCTAAAATTGATTTGTTGTTATTTTCTGCAGAAAATAGAGAGACCTTGTCTCCTGTTGCTATGGAAACTTGCAAATTATCTATCCAGTTTAGCAAAACTGTTATTTCAAACATGTAACATATGTTTTTCTGGTCTCTGAACATTCCTAAAAGGAATCTCTCCTTCCTCTCCTTTCCTCTCTAATTTCTGAATTTCTGCCTCCATTTTTCTTAATTTCTACATGTTCTTTTCTAGTTTTAACAAGCGTGTGTTTGTGTGTGTGTGTGTGTGTGTGTGTGTGTGTGTGCATATAGAGATGAGTGTGTGTGTTATATAAATATTCCTATAGAAGTATTTTTCTTTTTAAGTGTTCTTGAATTTTTACATACTCGTGATTTTTCCATAAGTCTTGATGTCTCTAAAAGCAGTCACCACATCAAACTATGGCCCTCAGAATAGGGTTTACAAATTGAATCAGGCTATGAGTTCAAGAAGGTGGCTTCTGAGCAGACCAAGACCTATTCCCTAGTCTTTTGAAGGGTTGCAATTATGACAAAGAAATAATGAGGAAGATTTAAAACAAAAAGAAATAGATTCAACTTTACCTGTTGAACACCATCTACATGCAAAACTGAGTAATAATAAGTCTAGCACAAATGTCAATGATATTAAATGCCCAACATATAACTGGAAATCTCACCTGATTTCTGCAAAATTTATTTCTGAAATATTTCAGAAGTCAATCACAATGCTGATTTGTGGTTTTAAAGATATCCTTTGAGCTTTGACCCTATTTGAATCCCACCCATTTCCTAGGACATTTAGTAACTGAAATCTTTACACTTTGTATTAACGTGCCCTATAATACTCTTTCCTAAGACGTCCTCACTCAAAACCTTCCCAACAGCTATTTTCAACATCTGTAGGCCTATTTGGACATCCATTTTTACACAGTTGTGTTATTCTCCCTCTAATTAACTGTTAACAACCTTGCTGCCATTGGGTTATGGAATTAAAATAAACATAGATGAAGACTATCTTTTCTACCCTGATATGGGGTATATAAAGCTACTAAGATAAGCTTTCTTTGCTCTTCTGCCATGTTTCTGCCCTGAGTCCCTCAAGATGAATTTCCTTTATTCAGTGATATATAGCTCTGATTCTTTCTGTAGAATTCTTCTCTCTCTTTCCTTCTCTCTGTCTTTATCTCCTTCTATCTCTTTTTCCCTCTGCATGTGTGTATGTGGATATCCTTTCCTAAGCATAACTAGAATGAGAAAATAATCTCTCTTGGGAATTCTACACAGATGACTCAAGATGTAAGTAGGAAAACAACTATCCCTATAATGGCTCTGATTGGGTAAAGCAGTTTAGGCTGGTAATTAGGGAAACCCTAGTCCCAGGGAACTCCAATTTACAGAGCTGTAGACATCAGAATAAATATTCTTTTTAAAAACTTCTTTTTTCTTTGGTATTTTTTGTTGGCTTGAATTTTTTTTTTTTTAATTTTTTTGAGACAGAGTTTCACTCTTGTTACCCAGGCTGGAGTGCAATGGCGCGATCTCGGCTCACCGCAACCTCCGCTTCCTGGGTTCAGGCAATTCTCCTGCCTCAGCCTCCTCAGTAGCTGGGGTTACAGGCACATGCCACCATGCCCAGCTAATGTTTTGTATTTTTAGTAGAGACGGGGTTTCACCATGTTGACCAGGATGGTCTCGATCTCTTGACTTCATGATCCACCCGCCTCGGCCTCCCAAAGTGCTGGGATTACAGGCGTGAGCCACCGCGCCCCGCCAGCTTGAATTTTTAATGAATCAAAATGCTAAATAAAATCCGTGACCCAGACCTGAAGGATGCTCATACAGAAGAGGGAAGGAGATAACGAAAGGAGGGAGCTAGACTTACACCCTGTTTGTTTCCAGTCCTTTCCCCCACCTTAGAAAAAACAGTTGGTCCTCCACATGTTCCATCTACTAGTTCCTATTGAAATTTGGGGCCAATATTTTATCTAATAGTGTTGGTTTTCTCTTGTTTTACCTTCTTTATGCACAGAGGTCAGAGACATTTCTAGGCAGAGAATGACAGGCAGGGAAGTCTCCCAAGACTAAAGCAAATTAACAGCATTGTGTGCCAGTCCCATCAAAATTGTTTTCACTTTCTTTCATTTATTCATTAACATTTTGAGAATAAAAAGATTAATACGATTTGATTCCCTTTTAAATAAAATCAATATCTAATATAGAATATAGAAATGCTGACAAATTAGTATTTCACAAAATGTTACTCTCCCAAGTAGATTTCAAAACAAAGTTCTGGAAGGGGGCAATTAATTGTCCCTCATTAATTCAGAGGAAGCTTGATCAAAAATAACTGCATCTGAAAGAACATAGCTTCCTAGGATCCCCGACCTGGAAATCATGAGATGAAGATCCAATTTCAGCTCTGTTC